ATCATTACTGATATGTAAATAAATTATTATATAGACATTCATCTTTACGTATAAATTAAAAGACTCAAACAAGATATCAAACACACAATTAATTCTCAATCTTTGATTGCAAAAATTAACTGCGGTGCTCTCACGCAATGATCAAATATTAGTAATAAGTTCGGTCAGATATAAACGTCTTTGACATCAATTATTACCCACATGGATAAAATCAATAATTACTACATATTTACCATCACATGTATAAAATTGTTCTGCCAAACTGTGTCTTCCTTTTGGCTGACCATAACAGTTCACCTGAACAATTATACACTACATCTTTTGTAATTCCGATTGAGTCAATTTTGTACAACAGATGTTACTTTTGCAATATGTTGCTTCAATCAATTCAATCAAAATTACTAGATATTTTAATAAATTCAATAAGAAGAGTCTTAAATTTATAAGGCACTACCCACAAATGTATGTCGTGTTCATTTAAAATGTCTTTTAATAATAATATTTTTTTGAAAGTCTTTAGTGCGACAAAAAAATTCACAATAAAACATAAATTTTATGAATTTATACAAATTGCATGATTAAAAATAATATTATTGTATAAAACTTAATAACAATAAACTCAAATAACATAATCATGCTAAATTTATAACTTCAAATCAGATAAATATTAAATATTTATATATTCAAAATAAATATCAAACAAATTTGCATATACACTAAATAATTCTCTAAATAAATCATTTTAGAATTAACAAAACTAAATCTAAAATCCAAAGTATCTAAAATTTAAAGAATCAAATCTTTAGCTTTACTTTGGAATTTTGTGAGATATTCAAAATATTCAAAAAAAAAAAATTCATAAATAATATATAATAACTAAATATATATTAAACAAATTAATATTTGTCTTATCTCTCAAAATCTAAATTCTTATGCAGATTTTACGTGAATCAAATTGCAAGATAAAACAATAATTAAAAATTAAATAAAATGATTTGATAATAAAACTTTTTTTTTAAATTCAAAACTAAGAATCAAATAATCAAAATAAGATTTAAATTCAATATTTATCTTTCACAAATAAGAGACATAAATATATATTTTAAATATATAATCTCTACCCACAAATAAAGTGTTGAAAATCAAAATCTTTAATAAAAAAATATTTTTGTGATTTTCAATGATTGATCATAATCATATATATGATTTCAAATATATTTAACATAATATATATTAAATAACATGCCTCTTAAAAAAAACCAAAATTTTTATAAATGCTTTTCTTTCAAAAAAAAATATAAAGTTATTATTTTGAATCAATACTTTATCATATAATTTACTAGGTAAAATTCAAAACTTTATTTAATGGCAACAAATTATATTTGAATCAAATCTAAAATTGTGATATATACCACAATAAAATATTTAATTTTAAATAAAAAACTTTAAATCTATTAAATTTCTTTGGTTTTATTTTATACCAAATCACGATCAAAACAAATATTTAAGATAATAATGCAATTAAGGATCAAATAATTGCAATCATCTATAATAAATATTTATATATAGTTATAATCCTTCTAGGTATAATCCTTAATCCTTTATTTGAAAGAGTATGTTTACATATAAATTTTTATGGAAGAACTTAAACCATACAAAAAATTTCAAAACAGGTATCCACACAATCATACTATCATAGTGATTTAACAAATAAAAGAAATCTCCAAATATTATCCTAAAACAATTCATGTCTTGAGAAACAAAATTTACACAATGAATTTCAAATATATGTTTCATAATCGCATATCCACAAAAAATTGAAGTTTAGTGGACAAATGTCAATACACTTAACATGAAGACATTCTCTGATACTATTTGTTGTAATTAAATCATTAACAATTAATCACATATACATGTTCTACATATCATGTTATATACTTTAGTGCGAAATAGAATATATAATTTGAACATGTATATAATTACATGATCTATAACATGTTAGTTAATGAGAGAAGAGATTGCAGGAATACCTTGATCAATTGAGAAAGTTTTATTGGCGGTAATCTTGAAACTTAGAAGACAAACAATTTGGTGGGAAAAAAATTAATTGATTGTGTAGGGTATATTGGAGACCATAATATATATATATATATATATATATATATATATATATATATATATATATATATATATATATATATATATATATATATATATATATATATATATATATATATATATATATATATATATATATATATATATATATATATATATATATATATATATATATATATATATATATATATATATATATATTCAATTGGAATTTCTATTATTTTCAAATGGGTCATTCTGACGTCCACTCATATTTTAGTCATTAATTAAATAATTATTAAATAAAAATTTAATTAGCTTTTTAAATTTATTTCACCACTTTTTAACTAAGATTCTTAATTTTAATAAATAGCTAATATAATTAAAATATATATGTCTACATAATAATTATTAAAATATAATAATTAAATAATATTTAAATTATAAAATATTTCAACATTATTATCTTATGAATAATATTTAAATATCAATTATTAATATAATAACTATTAGTATTTAAACTTTCAATGTTCTATCTAATAAAATAAGTTAAACTTTCATAAAATGAAAAATTAATATTTTAATCTCCTGTAAGAGACATACGTATGTTTAATTTGTGACGGTATTTCCCCATGGAGAAAACACATAGAAAAACAACTATTATTAAATTATTAACAATGTGTAAATGTGTAAATAAATAGGAAAAAAGGAAAAAGAAAAAAAAAAAAAACAAATTATGTATTTAATATTATTGAAGTGGATTCATGCTCCTAATAAGAAAATAGGTCAAATTAGTTGAGGAAAAATTTAGTCCTTTATTTACATTTAATATATCTAAAAAAAGTTAATATATATTTTATTAATAAATAAATAAATCCCAATTTTAAAATATATTATTTTTAAGACTCATTTTATAAATAACTTTTGTACATTTAGACCATCACTACATCCAAAATATTTATTTATTAAATTATTAATAAAAAATAAAAGAGTGATTTATAAGGATGCACAAATTTAAAATCACTTTATAAAACAGATCATATTTTAATTCTCCGATTTTATAATTATTAGCTTATACTTTTCAGACAATATGTGATCAGCACAAGTTGTATGGTTACCACAGAAAACTAAAAGATCAAAGATAAATGTTACCACAATTAGTAATTAGGGTTGAAATAGCGATTGAAAATAGCGAATGAAATTACCAAAAAAAATAAATAAAGATTTAAAAATGTGGTTAAGATTAAAGAAAGTGAGAGACATTGAAAAAGAGTGATAAAGAGAGAATGAAGCCAACACCACATCTCAAGGTGACTCCAGCCATCACCTAAGGGGCAACCTTCCTGCCTATTAACCCCATTACTCACCAACTTGCCTCCCCCGGTTACTGACTTTCTCTAAATTGTCTTACTCTCTTCATCTTATATAACTTTTTTATTATTATAACAATATCGACATTGTAAGAAGCATCCATAATTGAATATATTTGGGAAATATACGATTTATTTATCGTATGAAGGTTTTAAGCTTTAAATATCAATATGATTTTGTTATAGATGTTTTATTCAACATATTTTGATGGATTAAAGTATCTATTAAAAAAGAGGTGTTTATGAATTGTATAAATGATTTACCGAAAAAGACATCGACGCATGAATCATAAGATATTATGGTATGCGTCGGAGTATGATGGATATACATATTTGATTAAGATTTTTTCATTCGAGAAATTGAGATTTAGAGGTTTTACTTTGAGATAGAGTAAAATGATCAAACATAAAAAAAAACGTGTTTGACAATCAACTTAATCAATTTATTTTTATACATTTATCATTTTTAATTTCTCAACAATATAAATGTTTAGTCCTTTTGAGAGAGTCCAAAAATTCATAAATAATTATGTGTCTTTTAGATCAATAAATATAATTTAAAAAATTAATAATATTTTCATTAAAAAAAGTAAAATACATTTAATTGTCTATTTGTCTTTATATATATATATATATATATATATATATATATATATATATATATATATATATATATATATATATATATATATATATATATATATATATATATATATATATATATATATATATATATATATATATATATATATATATATATATATATATATATATATATATATGGTAAAGTGATTCCTATATTTTGAATTAGTTGGACAGTAGCTGCTGATTTGTTAGAATGTTGCCTTTAAGATACTATTTAATTGGAGTTTGACAACATCAATTGGCTAATTAGGAGTTCGCATCCTCTTTTATTAGAATTACATCCTGGATTTCTTTAAGACAGGAGTTCTCTCTAAGATGTTCGCGTCCTCTTTCATATCGTTGGTGTCGAAGATTAACAACCCTCAACATTTTGAAGATTTTAGACCAATTATTCTGGTTAGCTATATTATCAAGGTAATCTCCAAGATGTTTGCCTGCAGATTGAGCAAGGTTATTCACAAATTTATTTCTCCTTCCCAATCAGCTTTCATTCTGGGACGACAAATTTATGATGGGGTTCTGTTGGCCAATGAATTAGCAGACTATGCTAAGAGGTTTAACAAGGAATGTTTGTTTTTCAAAGTCGATTTCGCTAAAGCCTACGACTGTGTCGACTGGTCTTACCTTGATGAAATGCTTGTCAAGATGAATTTTGGTTCTAATTGGTTAAAATGGATTCGAGGCTCTGTGTTCAATAGCTACGTTTCAATTCTTATTAAAGGAAATCCTTCGAAGGATTTTAGGGTTGGAAGGAGGCTGAAGTAGGGTGACCCTTTGGCTCCGTTTCTGTTCGCCATAGTAGCAGAGGGTCTGTCTTGTTTAGTTAGAGCCACGGCTGCCGGTAACTTGTTATCTGAATTCAAGATCAACGATCAAGCCACTGCGAACATGCTCCAGTTTGCCGACGACGTTCTGCTTATAGGAGATGGATCGGTTACTAATACTTGGGCATTCAAGGCTGTTTTGCGTGCGTTTGAATTGACTTCTGGCCTGAAAATTAATTTCTCAAAAAGCTGTCCTTATGGGATAGGAGTAGACCCTGCTTTTCTTGTTGCAGCTGAAGAATTTCTGCACTGTAAATCGGGCAGGCTTTCGTTCAATTTCCTTGGTCTTCTGGTATGAGGAAATCATCGTCGACACTCTTTTTGGAACCCGGTTCTGTCTCGTCTGCGGAGTAAGGTATCTAATTGGGCTGGGAGAAATTTGTCTATGGGAGGTAAAGTATCCCTCATTAACTCGGTTTTAGCTAACATGCCTATTCATTACTTGGCTTTTTTCAAGGCTCCCAAGAAAATTGTGAACGATATTATCGCAATCCAACGACGTTTTCTTTGGGCTGGGAATTCCAATAAAAAGTTCATCTCTTGGATATCTTGGAACTCCATCTGCAAGCCGAAGGAACACGGAGGTCTTGGCATTAAACACGTAGGTCGCTTTAATTGTGCTCTTATAGAAAAATGGCTGTGGAGATTTCAAAGCGGCGGAAATGAAATTTGGAGAAAGACGCTCATTCTCAGATATGGTAACTTGAGAATGAAGGTGCAAACTTTCACCGACGTCGGTAGCTCGAAATTCGACTCTTCTTAGATGAAGGATATTCTATAAAGTTCAATCAACGACTTCCATGTGTAGTTCTGCAAGTTCACGACTTGCACTAATGGTGAAGGTCATGCTACGATGTTTTGGAAGTCAAATTGGATTGGAGATTTGCCGCTTAAAAGTAGGTTTCAACGGCTGTTTCAGGGATGTTCCAAGAAAGTTTCGACCGTCACTGAGATGGAAGCTTGGGAGGATGGTCAGTGGGTTTTAAAATTGAGAGAAACGTTGATAGATGCAGGATCCAATATTGAACCAGAATGGACTGATTATAGTAATTTGTTGGAATAGGTTGCAACTATCAAAGATGTCGCCGATAATTGGAGATGGCTTCTTCATGATTCATTTTCGTATAAGGTAAGCTCTTTCTATACTGCTTTAACTTCTTCTGCCTCTGTTTACGATTTTGGTAGTGATAGCGCAACCCTTCTGGAGATACTTTGGAAAACGGTGTTACCGGCAAAAGTTCAAACTTTTATTTGGAGGATGGCGCTTGATAGGCTGCCTACTAGATCTAACTTGATGAAAAGAAGGGTGATTGATAATTCTTAACATTCGGATTGTGTGTTATGTTCGTCAAGCTTCGAGGACGTTTCACATCTCTTCTTCTCGTGCACTAAATCCTCGTTGGTTTGGAATAAGATTTGCGACTGGGTGGATAAAGAGAACATCTCGGAGGATTGTTGTAATCTTCATGCGAAGGTCTGAAACTCGAGACTTTTGGGCCGGTGTAAAGAGAACAAGATCAACTCAATTTGGTTTATTTCTTGCTGGAATTTATGGAGGGCTAGAAATAACATTATTTTCAATAATGAAAATATTGAAGTAGATGACATTGTTTTCGATATTAAAGTTTCCTCGTAGAATTGGTTGATATTAGAAAGACAGGAAAGTAATCATTGTAGTTTATACGAATGGTTTAAATTTCGGTTTGATTTTTTGTAATATACTTGTCTTTGGTGGTGGTTGTAATCTTGTTGTTTTGAGATTTTCTTAATCTCTTTATAATAATATTTGCTTATAAAAAAAAATTGGCTAATTAGGTTTGTTAATGAGAATAATTTGTATTTCTTATTTATATGATAATTGGTTTTAAGCTCTTGGTGATTACTACCAGTGGTTAGGTTAAAAACACATTCTATTAAACGTTTTTGTATTTTTATTAACAAACTCTTGAAACCTGTTACTAATGTATTTAAAGTTTGAGAGAAGATGTTCGATATTATTATTATTATTATTATTATTATTATTATTATTATTATTATTATTATTATATTTTTGTAAGGATAGTTTGATACTTTCCTAACATATAATATTTATATTTTGGTATAATCACTAGTTTTTTTCATTATGTTAAAACTCTAGTTAAAAGATTTTTTTTCTTTATATTTTTATGTGTTCACTATTGTTATATATATAAGATAAAGGAATAACAAACCGTTACTATTCCTTTTTTAATTTTGTAGAAGATTCACTGATATTAAAAAATCAAAAAATTTCAAAGCAATATCGATATTTATCATTTTTCAGTTGAATAAAGTCTACAAACACTCATGTAAGTATTCTGTTAATTATGTTATATTAACAAATAAAATTACTTTTGTCATAAAATAAATATGCCTAATTTTTTTTTTTTGAATGACGTATGATAGTAACCTACATTTAATACTATGAAGTAAAAAAGAAAGTTTTGTTTTCTTCATAATGTTGCCAAATTGTAAACCACAAGATCTCACGGTTCAGTTCCTTGTTTTGGAACGGATTCTTGGGTTGTTGGGTGCAAGGATGCGCCACTTCCCCCGCCCCCTATATTTATTATAAGCTCTTCCTTCTTTCTTTTTAGTTTTTAGGTTAAATACACAATACTCTTTTTGTAATATTAGCGAATTTTTAACTCTTTATAAAAGCTTTTTTTTTTAAATTCACTCGTAATATTCAGATTTCGTCCAACAGACTCTGGAATATCAGATTGTAGCAAATATTCTCTTATTTTACGCTAGCGTAGCAATCCACGTGGCATTTTTAATTTTTATTTTATTTTTCTAAATCAACATGAATTTATTTTATTATTTATTATTATTTTTGTTAATACTTTTAATAAATTATTTTTTAATAATGTAATTAATTAACTTATGTAAATTAATTTATAAATTAATTATTAAAATATTAGTTTGGGCCTCGGGCCCTTGTTCTTATCAAGAAGAGCCTAATCTTTAATGAATTGTTAACTATTGTGTAAAAGTTATTTATAAATACTTGCATTTATACATGAAATTTTCACGTGGGACTATTGTTGCTTCCACTTTTTCTTTGGATAACAGCTTGACTGCTTTCATGTGTCATTACAACCACAACCTTACAACCATCATGAACACCACCAGCAAAGAACTATTGTTGTTGCTTCTACTCTTCTCTTCACCAGCATGAACACCACCATCAACCATACAACCACAACATGTAACACCCATTTTAATTATTTAGTCTTTTTGGTGTTATTTTGTTTGGTGTGTCTGAGTGCGTGGTGGGTACCCTTAAGTTATGGGGACTGTTTAATAAGTATGGAATTTGATGTTAATAAAATATAAATAATATTGGTGGTAATATAATAATTAATGGTATTATTATTATTATTATTATTATTATTATTATTATTATGACTATTATTATTATTAATATTATTATTGCTATTACTATTAGTTATTATTATTATTATTATTGGATTAAATAAATAAAATAAGAAGTTAAAGGGGTATTAGAGAGTTTTGGAGAGAAGAAAGAGAAAACACAATAAAAATCAGTTTTAGAACAAAGTAAGAGGGAATAACAAGAGGAAGAAGGGAAGAAGGCTAGGGCTAACAATTCTTGAAGGTTCTTCGTCAAACGGAGCATTAATCGAGGTAAGGGGGAGAAACGGGTTAAGATTGGTAAATTGCATGAACAGGGTAGATGAGATTCCTTAATCCCGTAGGAATTTGGTGAATATGAATGATATTTTGAAATGTTGATGATTGTTGTTGTTATGATAAATTATATGCGCATTGATGTGTTTATGAGCATGGCTGCCATTGATGACTTTGGGTACATGTTGTTCGGAGATTGGTGAAGTTCTGAGTAACTTCTGTAGTTCTGATGATGAACATAGGTGTGGGTTCTGAAGTTAAAATTGATAGAAAGTGATAAAGTAATGTTTATTGGTTGTAGTATTGATAGGACTGAAGATAGAAGTAGAGTGATAGGCTTGAATTTGAGCAAGATAACAGTTCTGGACTGTGAGGGTTTTGAGAGATCGCAGAACTCGCTAAGCAAGTAGCTAGCGAGCGATTCGCTAAGTAGTTCGCTAGGCGAGCTAGTAGCGAGTGTTCGCTAGGACTTCGCTAGGCGAGATGGGTAGCAAAGGCTTCCAGTAGCCATTGTCTACCTTCGCTAGGGAGTTCGCTAGGCGAGCAGCTAGCGAGCGTTCGCTAGGGCTTCGCTAAGCAAACGAGCCAGCGAGCGTGACAGAAAGTGATGTTGTGCTGTCTTGCCTTGTGACCTCGTTTTGTAGTATCCCTTGAGTTGTGACCAGTATAGATATGGTGATTAGTGGTGAAGAGTGTAAAATTAACATTAAAAGGTGGAATTATGTAATGATTGAAGTTAGTTGAAATAGGTAGATTGTGGTGTGAGATATGTATGGGGTATGGTGATGGGATCAGGGGGATCGTGTAACTTTAATTAAAATAACTAATTGATGAACAATATGCTTGTATGATGTATGGTGATGTGATCAGGGGATCGTGTGCACCTTGTGTGCTTGAGTTCATTTCTTGTGCATTTGGTGTTATACATATCATGGTGTTAGTGGGACCAATCATTGCTCAGGAGGAGTGTATGTGATTCATCCGTACTCCATTGTGGAGAATGGTGGGGATAGATCATGGCCAAGGACGGGTGTATGTGATCTATCTGGGGTTCGATTAAATGAACCAATGAGTCGATACCGCATGCATGGTGTTGAGTTGCATAATTGCATTATGGTGTGTTGTGTTGTTGTTGGACAGTAGGTCGTTTTTGATGAATGTTGGGTGATATTTTATATGATTGCTACCTTTATTTCATGTATTGTATTACCGATAATTTTGATCATGTTTTCTCACCCCTTTGTTGTTGTTGTTGTGGTCTGTGCTTCTTCGGAAGTACAGATGATCCAGGTACTTAGCTAGCTTGGATAGTGGTGTGCGAGTCGAGTCTTAGGATGCTCTGATACGTAGCACGAGACTTGGGTGTTTATTTGTTTTTATGTTGAACTTGTTTTATTTCGTGTGACATATGATATTGGTGAACATTTTAATGAATCTTTTTATGTAATTCGGCGGATGGCCGAGAATGATGAATTAAGGATTATTTCCGCTGCTTTGTTTTAAAAACCTTCTAATGAAGAGTATTATGGATTATGTGATGTGATATCCCACTTGTTGAGGGGAGACTCTGATGTTTATTTGGATTAATCGTATTTTATTTTAATTTTGGGAAGTGGGGTGTTACACAACATATTCATCCCTCCTTCAACATTGCAAACACATTTCAATTCACTGCTCCACCATTAAAACAACCATATCATCACTCGTACTCTGTTAATGCAGATGTCATTTTCTCATGATTTCATCAAAGGATTTCATTATAGATTGAAATCTCTCCATGCTTGATGATTTTTCAGACTTCAGTTTTAAAATAGTTTTGAAACATGTTGGACACACTGTTATTTGTTCTTTGACCAAGTTTTCTTCGCATTAGCTTTCATGTGTCATGCAACAACAAGGATATTGATGCTACATGATGCTTCAGACACAACAGGTTATTACCATTTCATTCACATTGACATGATGCTACAATTAACCAAAAACATTATCATTCAAAAAAGTATTGCATGATACATCATCATCAAGAAAAGCATTAAAACAAAGACAAAAAGTATGCTTGAAGACAATAAAAACACTTTCATTTTTAATCAT